ACAATAACAAAATCAATTAAAACAACTGACCAGTAGGATTATTGTTCTTTTAGAACTGAATTGGATAACAAAGGCAAGGAATGTCCAGTTTTGATTTGAGAAACATAACATTTGAAAGTAGATTTATGGAAAAGATAAACATAAAAGTACTCTTGTAAATATTTACAAAAAGGAAAGGTTTGGGAGAATAAGTGTATTGGAAACCCTTGCATTTTCCCGCCATCTTGTGAGATATCTCACTATACACTCAGTGACTCAGTGAATCGGCTATTATCACCTGTATCTCACTTTACGGGAAAATTTGAATTTTGTAGGCAAACAACAAAGCATGATTTATGTGTTGAAAATGTAATTATTAAGATATATATAAAATTATTTCAAATTTCAAAATATTTGTTTTGTTAATAAAAGAAATTCAACTTTCAAGCGCTTTAACTGGCATGTGTATACTGAAAAGAAAAAAATGGAAAAAAGTGATCCCTCGGAAGCATTAATCAGCGAAAAAAATTACGCGAAAATTGCAGACTCAGTTTTGATTGAGTTTGGTACATGAGGGATAATGAATAAGTGCAACAAATCCCTCACTGCCTCCTTGCACAGTCTTGAGCGGTACTCAAATGTGGATTCCACACTTAATTAACTGCTGGCATCAATGATTCACGAAGGGCCAGAAAAGTATACCAAACACTAACCATCTTGCTCTTTTTATAGTATTACTTTTCACCTCGATTTTAATTACAAGTTGTCTCAATATCAGGTTCTTTTTTTTTTTAGAACACACATCCCGTCAAACAGCTGACTTAGTATGGTTTTATGATTGTCCACGTGCCACATTATACACTGATGGTTCACCCTTTGTCCTCTGTTGAATCATGGTCAGGATGTTTGGTCCAAATATTCTCGGACGAGTCCTAATATGGACATTTTAATTTCGTGAGATAAAAAGTAGTTTACTAGTGCCCTAAATCTTAACTCTCTAGAATTAAGTTTATGACGATTTGCCTACAGGAAAAAATTGTTTTTGATTCTGCTTCTCGTGCGTTTTCTGTTACTAATCGTCTCTATTCTTATTGTTCTCGTCCAATATTTCGCCGCAGATGCTCCATCTGCGCACCTCTTCCACCCCACCCCCTATCCCACATTCGATCGCTTGTACTGAGTAATCTGATTCATACGTGAAGTCGACACTGTGATTGATAATAAATGTTCTATCTTTGCGATGATAAGATTGTTTATGGATCTTATTAACAGGAGACAAGAAAGACGAAAAGATTATATATTGCAAGACAGATCAATATTGATACATTTGTAACGACTACATTAAACGTGACGGAACTTTGGAATTCTTATGTATTATTCTGTATTGAATGACATAATGTGCGATATAAGAGCCAAAGAGTATGCAGGTGGGATATTTAAATTATTCGTACCAGTTACATACTATCGAAATGTTCATTACAGAAGGTGGAAGACTGTGGATTAAAAGAGACATATCAGAGACTAAGGAATAAGAACGAGAAAAAATAGTGCATGTAACGTTGAGAAATGAAACAATTATTGGAATAGATTTGTAGAGAAGGAAACTGGCCACACTAGAGTACAATGAAATGTAGGAACAGAAACTAACAAAGAAAGACATCGTTTGTGTATGATAAGGAAAATATACCAAAAAAGGTAAAAGTGAGACATTCAGTCTGTTACGTTACTCTTGTTTACAATGGAAAAATACAAGTATTTTTTTCAAGAAACAGGTTTATGATTTATAAGTACAAATCCCTTGATACTGAATAATGATGTTCTACCAAAATAAATTTTTTGCTTTGGTAGTTGCTGGGTCCTCCTAAAGAAGTGTGAAAAAACATGTCCCAATGCCTTAAACTTGCAATAAAAATAATCATTTTAGTTTAGAAAAAACAGTCTTCATATATGTACATCTATATCTGAGTCATGATTTAAAATATAATAATTAAGGATTTGAATAACTCTTTAACTTTTAAAGCAGCATACTTCAAACATACATGAACATTCTCATAAATATTATGAAAAGGAAAATATTGTTATGACCAAAGTAATAATCTACTAACAATCCACGTAAATTAGCAAAGGTTGTTAAATTGGCAAATATAGCCCTTTTGTTACGCGTTAGGAGAATTATGGTGATGCATACTGCAAAACCAGTGATTTTTCCCAACATGTAAATTATAACTTAATTCTTGAATCTCTTTACTTTTCTTAAAATCTAAGCATATTTATCTGAAGTTTGAGTTGTTTTTTTAAATATTTTGACTCATCTGGAGGCATGCATCTTTAATGCTTAAAGTCATCTACTATGATACTTTGTGCATGTTCAACTTTTTCATTTGTCAGTTTACGTGCCAAATAATCCTAATTAATATAAAAATCAAAGTAAGTGAAATGGTTGATTCAATTGCATGAATTCAGCATAACTTATTCAAATATAAATAAATAAGATATTTCACACTATTGTCTTTTTTTGCGTTCATTGAACCCTGCCTTAACTTGTTGATTTTGTTTATCATATTTTGTGGAGGAACGAAATATGAGACTACCTGAATCAGTTGTATTTTGAATCAGTTCAGGTATATCACTATATATACATGCAATGATATGTTATTAATATGAAAAATAAGACAGCTTGTAGTATTTAATCATTCAAAATATTACTTTTTCCTCTACAAATTGAATGTTTTATGCAGTGAAACTTTACTATAAATGTATATATATATGTGAAAATTCAAAGAGTATAATAAATGATAATTATTAATCTGATATTGAGGAATCTATGGTGAAAACAAGGATTTTTTAGTATTTAAAATATGACATTTTGAAGCCAATTCTTTGTTTTTTTCTAAACATGATCAATAGGTGGAGATGTAAAATCTCTTATAGACTGATCTGTTACATGAAATGGTTCTACCAAATCGATAAAGATTTCTTGAAAATGACAAATAACAAATGTTTGACTTTTCATTCTTCTAAAGCATTTGTGCAATGTTTGACTATATAATATAAAAATAAACACTGTAAATAACCTACATGCAAAATCTTCTTTTATTCTATTAACAAAAAAGATTCAGTTGTAGAAAACAGTTTGAACATTTATGATTATTTTGGCACAGAACCGACATGCAAATAGCAGTCCAATTTAGGATTCGTAAGTAAAATTTTCACTAAGGAGATAGGGTAATAGATGAGCAAGCTGCGAGACTTCTTACTTCTTACATGTCTGTATAAATCAAATGATGCATACTTCTTAACCCGTAATACACAATACATAAGCCGTATTACATATGTCATGATACAAAATACAAAGGTTAAAATACATAAGACATAATACAAAAGTCAAAATACAAAAGACATAATACAAAAGTCAAAACACAAAAGACATAATACAAAAGTCAAAATACATAAGACATAATAAAAAAGTCAAAATACATAAGACATAATTCAAAAGTCAAAACACATAAGACATAATAAAAGAAACTTGTTAATACGTTCTGGTCTTTGTGATACATTGACAGAATGTTCATCTCTATAAATGTTTTATTTGAAAGCTGGTCGAGTGCAATCAAAAATTAAGTCAAGAAGTCAAATCAAATTAAGAGCATGCAAGTGTCTGTGTGTCCATCAGTCTGTTTGATGTTTGTGTCTCCTGCTACACAATAACTGTAACATGCTACAAAGTAGCTGAAAAATTTACAGAACAATGCAAATGCTTAATTTGCAATCAGGTAACACAGTCATCATGATCACTGGTTGCTCGCGACTGTATTTTAACACAGGGTAACATTTCTTTTGTGATTTTCATGAAACATGTTCAAAGTGTTCATAAGGTATTCTCAATATTGGACATTAAATGAGTGGTAAATACTAGACCTAGATTAATTTAACGAATCAATGATTACGACCATTGCGTAAAATAATGTACTTTTTTGAAAGAAATAAACAGCAAGTTTTAATGTGATTGAAACAATTTTTTGGGCGCTTTATTAAATGACGTATACATTTAAGTTTTCTATGAGATTCAGTTATGATGGTTGAAAGATTCATCAAATTTCTATATAAAACTATATCCCTTGGTGTATTTTCAATAAATTATCCTAGATAGCTTATTATTTCTTCTTTCAGAAACAGCGAGGTACTGGTAGACATGCCATATATAAGTTGCACCTTGGATGGCTTCATGAAACTCGTGGGCAGTTAAGACAAGTTACCGCACGGAGAGGAGGTGGTACAAGAATATACGAATTTAAAAAAGAAGAAGAGCAAACTGTTCTGACAGTTATAAATTATGCAACAAGCATTTTCTTTCCAGATGAAAAAAATGATATGGAAAAGTTATCAGATATGGTAGTGAACCTGTCTTCATATAACGGAGAAGTAATTTCATAATTTGTCATGCCAAATGGGGAAGACTGTAATTTGCAAACATACTTGAAGTCTATCGGCGTGTTTTCCTCTCAGTACTTTTTATATTTGAGAACATCTAAAAAAAACAGGAGATTGACGGCAGAGAGCCAGATAGACAGCATATAGATGATGGATGCATTCCTTTAACATCATTGAAAGTAAATGACCAAACACCTGGTGAAATATGTGCAAAGTACACTAAACTTTGCAACTCATCATACACAGCTGAATGTTCACAAAAAATCTGTCAAACCATTGATGACTGCTTTCTTGACACAACTGTAAGTGATCCTGACAGAGAAAAAGATGGGTATAATCCACTTGAAAATAGTTTCAAAGTGACAGGCATAACAGTCAACAAGATCTCTATTTTGAGCAAAACAGATCCGAGTTCTAACCACTTTGAATATCCAACAGCTACATCAAATACAAAAGGAATACTTCATACACCTGACCAGATTGTGGGTTTTGAGAAGCAAGAAAACATGGAAATCATACTTGGCGTACTTAATAAAGAACATAATTCTGGTGCATATTTTCAGTGGTATAAAAACAACGAACTATTTCCAAGTGGACCTGACCTTTGCTTAATCCCCGTAACTGATCCTAGTGAATACTTGGTGAAGGTATCAGATGAAGATACACTTTATGAATGTGCAGCTGTAGGGGTGGACTCTCAAGCTTTGCTGGCAGAAAAAAAAAACTTTCAACAATCACTTTTCATGCAACTCAGGAGATTTTAACTGACCGAGTAAGACTTCAGTCCCTGGATGACAGTACAGTTGATACTGCTTATGTAACTGAACCATCAATGGAGGACAGTACAGTTGATACAGTTACTGTTACTGAGCCATCAATGGAGGACAGTACATTTGATACTGTTACTGTTACTGAACCATCAATAGAGGAGAGTACAGTTGCTACTGTTACTGAACCATCAATGGAGGACAAAATAGTTGACACTGTTACTGAACCATCAATGGAGGACAGTACAGTTGACACTGTTACTAACCCATCAATGGAGGACAAAACAGTTGATACTGTTACTGAACGATCAACTCCTAGTTATGATTCCATTACAGACAATGAAGTAATAAAAAGTCATGTCATGAATGAGAATGTGAGTGAACAGACAAACTGTGACTATTTCAAAGAACGTTCAAGTACAGCCAAGTATAATCCTATACACGCGCTTAATTTCTCAACAGATGTAAATGTGCCAGAAATTCCTTATGATAGTTTATGTATGGGACCTAAAATTGGGGAAGGCTCTTTTGGAACAGTACATTTGGCACATTATCTTTTTACTCCAGTTGCAATAAAAACTGTAAAAATAAGGCGAATTAAACTAGTCCAGAAAGCTCTTGAACGAGAAGTAAAAGTTCTCAGCAGAGTAAGGCATCCACACATTATACTGTTTATGGGGTATTCGGTATATAATAATGCATTACACATTGTGTCCGAGTACATAAAAGGATCAAATTTAGATGACCTACTGTTTGGTGATCGATGCCAACAAATCCCCCTTCTAAAAAAGTGCCACATTGCTGAAAAGATATGCCAGGCTGTTGCTTACTTGCACAACAGTTCTACTATTATATTACATCGAGACTTAAAGCCGGAGAACATTATTGTATCAGAATCTTTAGCCGTAGTAAAATTTTGTGACTTGGGGATTTCAAAATTGTTAACAATAAATAGTTCTGCTACAACCTATGCACCAGGTATGTAACCAGGTACCCTTATCTTTCAAGCACCAGAAATTTTGCTTGGTAATAGACCTGCATCAACAAAATCTGATGTTTGGGGAATGGCAGGCACTCTTGCAGAATTATTCAGTGAATGTCCAATGTGGGGATTACAAGAGGAAGATGAAGAAGACAATGAAAGATCAGCTGTTGAAACAATTAAAGAATTTATGAGTCAAAAAGAAGTCCCACATGCCATTACAAAACTTGTACAAATGGACTGTATTTGTAGCAGAATAGTAGACATTGTAACCAAGGGGCTGAACTATGGTCCCGATTGCAGACCAGTAGCGACTGAATTCCCAACAGAATTTAGTAAATAAACTAAGATATGAACGGGTGTAGCAAATAAGTAAAAGTGATATAATGGAACTGAAATATTATTGTTTGATATATATTCACAGTGACGTCAAAAGTTGTTAATATTATATTAAATAAAACTTTTATACACCCTAAACGAAGTTAGGCGGTATATAAGAGTCACCCGGTGGTCGGTCAGTCGGTTGGTTTGTTGTTTGGTTGGTCGGTCGGTCGGTCAAGCGGTCCGTTGCATTTTCCTTGTCCGGAGCATAACCTGAAGGCTCAAGGTTGGAATTTCTTATAACCTCATAGAATGGTCAAGCGAATTTAAAGGAAGTGCAGTACTCAAGAACTCCATCTTGACTAATTACAGAGTTATTGCCCTTTGTTTCTTTTCCTTGTCTGGAGCATAACTTGAAAACTACTGGTTGTAATTCAACTTCATACAATCGTCAAGCACAATAAGGGGAAGTGCAGTACACAAGAATCATAACTCCATTTTGACAAGTTACAGAGCTTTTGCCCTTTGATACCTTTCCTTGTCCGGAGAATAACTTTAAAAGCACGGGTTCGAATTCAATACAACTTCATACAATGCCCTTTGTTACTTTTTGTCCAGTGCATAACTTGAAAACTATGGTTTGGAATTCAATACAACTCTATACAATGGTCAAGCACAATGAAAGGAAGTGCAGTATACAATAACCATAACTACATCTTCAGTATTTTTAGAGTTATTGCCCTTTATTCCTTTTCCTTGTCCGATGCATAACTTAAAATTAATGTTTTGAATTTAATGCAACTTCATACAATGTTAAAGCGCAATGAGATGAAGTGCAGTGCTCAAGAAGCGTAACTCTTTCTGAACTTATTACAGGGTAATTCAATATCACTTTATCAATGTTAAACCACATTAACTGGAACTGCAACATACAAGAACCACAACTATCTTTAATTGCCCACAACCATAACTCAAATTCAATTCTTTTAAAAGATATTCTATTACTAATAACTTCATCATTTCCGAAGCAGTCTTGCGGGGGTATTAATCACATTTAGTGATAGATCTTGTTTTGTATTAGGCTGTTTTCAAAACTATAATTATTTCTGTTCTTTGATATATAAGTATTTTCAATTTGTTTAAATCTAAGTAAAACTTATGACTGATTTCAGAATATTTAAGTTTGTATGCCGATTTATAATATAACAATATAACAATATTATAAGATATATATCCTGTAAAATCTGCATGTTTGGAAATTACATTGTGGGCATCTCAGAACAACATTTTGGGAACAAGCATGTAACTAGTTTAGCCCCCCTTGTATCAGATAGCTATCAGATCAAATAGCCTCGTGTTTCATTATTCTTTGTATTACTTTAATGTCCTTGAATTGACCTCAAATAAGTAAAAGATTTTGGTTCAAAGGCACATAACTCAAAAGTGAGATCGCAGAATTTACCAATCCACCACGCAAAAGCAATTCAAAGTTAACATCTGATAATATCTGATAGCATTTGGTTTTGTTTCTTTTTCAAAATTGAATTTATTGCATGACTTAATTATTGTAAGATCTAATAAATTGCCCTACTTTATGATTTTTACATACTCCTTTATTTAACTCAATATAAAAAACCCATTTTGCGAGGAACAAGCTTACACAACATTACGTCTCGTACTACAATCCATTTCTTTTAAACAAGGGGAAAGGGGAGCGGTGGCCTCTTGGTTAATGTGTCTGTCCCTCAACCAAAGGACTATGGGTTCGAGTCCTACTCGAGCCATCTCCATGTTTCTTCATATGACACCAGTACTGGTTGGTTGAAGGGTTTTGATTTTTAAAAAAAACTTGGCAAGAACTTGTTTCGCAAACGATCTAAATGAATTATATTAAATATCTGATACATGAAGAGAATTTATTCAGAGCACATATGAGAGAAATTATTCCATGGCTTCATCAATAAGTTCCAGTAGTTCCCTGTATAGTTCTAGAGCATCTTGTTAATCCATGGGAATGCGGCTGTCAGGCTTTAGTAATTTAACTAAATCGTGAAATTCTTTAATGCATGTTGTCCTACGTAAGTCGTACATTTCGCAACAAGCATCAACATCATTTTGATCTACAATCTTTCAATAATTATGTCCGCCAAACAATTCCGGAACGAACTACATTAAATCGGGTTTTCCATTTGGTACCTCAGAATTTATCTGTTTACGTATGGAATGTAAGTTCCAATTAACCACTATTCTGTCAAGCTCGGCCTGAATCAAGTGCATAAAAGAGAATTTCAAGCATTCAACATGTAAAGGATTTAATTCATCATACGCTTGATTGTTTTTTAAATCTTTGAAAAAGGAAATCCACCATTGAATTCTTTGGCGTCTCATAGTTCCCCACCAGGCCTCTATTCGTTGATTTGAAACGCTTATTCCGTATATAAAACTTCTAAGTCCCGATATACTATCTGTATCATTGTACCGGAAGAACGGTTGTGTATGAATGTTGTGTTATGTTGTTATGAACATTAATTATTAAATTAATAATTAATTCAATAAATTTTTGTTTTAACAATTAATTCATGGGTTCGAGTCCTACTCGAGCCATCTCCATGTTTCTTCATATGACACCAGTGCTGGTTGGTTCAAGGGTTTTGATAAAAAAACACAACATAACAACAAACACGAATTAATTAATTTAACATGAATTTTCCGTTCCCTTATCACAACAAAGAATTTGGGGAACAACCCGAAGCGTCTTCAGCGCTTCAAGAAAATACATAGCGATGACTGCAGGGTTGTTGTTACTTTGTGACACTTCTAGCCAAAGTATCCTTCTACTGTAACCATCAATAGCACCGTGTATACAAAAGCCATATGGTTTGAGTTTATCTTAACCGTCTACGTGCCATACATAATTTGGCCCCTTTATTCTGTACTTGCGTCTTTAAATTATGTGGGTTTTCCGAAAATTAATTCCGTCAGGATCAATAGTATTCATAAATGAAAGAACTTTATTTCTAGGAACTCTTAATTTATGTTCATTGTCAAGCGTTTCCACATCGAACGATAAGCAATGCACTGACCACTTGTCTCAATTTCCTTGGAAATATAATCAGGAACAATGTGATCTGATGTGTATCCAGTTCGACGTCGTAAGTTGTTACATTTAAGTACTCTATTAAGCTGTCGCAACGATATTTTAATGTTATTTATAACAAACAACAAAAGAATAATTTCCGGATATGTAAACCCACAGTAAAAATAGTGTTGCACTAATTCAAGCCGTGTACTTCCTGCTGTCGATGTGTCTGGTATGTTTGAAGGTGTCACTCCTAATACAGAGTTAACCTGTTGTATCCAAAGACAAAACCAAAAGCTATGGAACGCCAACATATTCACTTGTCATATCTGGAAAACAGGGTACGTATACATATAAGCTCTTATTCATACTTATAAGATGTCAGACAAAGAAAAGAATATTCATATATAATTTATAAAAACACTGCTGTATAAAATATCAATTGCAATAATTATTCAAACATCATAGTTATCAGTGTGTAGTGTTTTTTTTTTGTTTGTTTTTTTTTAAATCATATAGAAATGTTGCTAGGATAAAAAAAAGATTTAAAAAAGACGGAGTTTGATTAAACGGCCTGAAAAATTTATACACAATCACGGAAAACATAGCCTCGCCAACAAACCGTCGGTCTGTTGATATAAGCGGGCGGGTTGATAAGTAAGAAGACTATGACTGCTTAAATCAAAATTGCACCGTATACAGGTACTGAACACTCAAATAACCTTTATATTTGAAAATTAAAAAAGAAGTTTAAAAGGGAGATATGTCAATAGAGTCACCAAAAGAGTTTCAAGTTGTTAGGCCAATGCCTTACAGTTTTGGAAAAGAACTGAAACTGAAACAGATGCATGGAGAAGTTGCAACTAGTTGTACAGTTAATCTTATATACTATAGTTGTCATGTCATAAACAAAATTAATTTATGTAAATCTTTTAACAATTTAACTCTTACCAAAGCAGTCTTCTTTGTTACTTTTTGTTCTCCTACTGTACTCTGCAATTTGATAAAATATCATCATTCGGCACATTTGCCTTTGTACTTGTCTGATAAATCATAAATCAGTTTCTTGTTTTTTCCTTTGTAAAGAGAGTCACAGGTAGAAGATGAATGTCCAATATGTTTACCATCAATGTATCTCCATAAGTTAATCTTTTTCAATGTTTCTGGGTCTTTTTTCTTCTTAGTGGCCTGCTATGTTCTGAACTAGTGCATGAATACGTTTACTACTCGCATTGTTTACTACTCGCATTTACCTGAAGGAGAAATGATTTATATTTTATACAGAATAAAGTTTCACACATGTTTTAAAAATGTGTCAGTCTTGCAAATATTTTGATACTTAAACTTTAACAGTTAATACGATTGTTGTGCCCTGTGACCTATTTTGTCTTTGAGATGACCATTATATTCGGAACATAACCTTGTATGGGAGATAATTATTCAAGTTAGGAGAAATACAGTACTGTCATACTTTTTAAATTAACACTTACCAAATCGTCTTCTGTTTCACTATCAGATTTACCTCCAACGTCCATGAAGGGTGTGTGTGATGAAACTTGCCCTTTTGCCGCTTTTTTGTTAAGTCATAATACATAAGACAAAAG